GCTGGCCCAAATGGGGGGGCCGCGCGCGCTGCTCCGTCTGCAAGCAGCGCCGCGCAGGGCGGCGCAATCGGGGACCGCGAGGAACGGGCGGGGGGGCCAATGGGGGGAGGAGCAGCGCAGAGCAGAACCTCATGTAGCCCTGCACAGCTTTACCCTGAGAGGATACTTTCGCAACCGCTCATCTTAGGATACAATCCCCCTTAAGGCTCACGGCACAAGCTGCACTGGCCGACCGGCGCCCTTCTGGGCGCGCAACTCAATACTCTGAGGCGCATGCATCATTGACATACGTGGTGCTGCGCTCACCGCGAATCCCTCTGGAAGATCAGCATAAAGACTGCGTGATAAGAAAAAAGAATGCGGATAAATCCGCCGGCCCCAGGGGGTCTGCTGCGCGGGGGGCGGTCGCAACTTTCCGAATCCCCTGCCGGGGGGCCCCGCCCGCCCGGCTCGAACGAAGGGCGCGAAAAGGGCTGGCGGGCCCAGCCGCTTCAAAGATGCCCCCGCGCGGTCTGCATGGCTTCGACGTAGTGCCCGCGGTTTCGAAACGACCCCAGATGGCACCCAATCGCCCTGAAATGGGCGCATGACACGCGTTCCCCGAAGGGCCTGCACAACGGCCGGGGGAGCGCGCGGTCCCAGGGCGCGGCCAAACGTTGCCCTCGCGAGACCAAAACACCGGCGCATCCTAGAAGGCAGGGGGCGACGGCGATTCGCCATCGGCGTTTTCGACGTAGCGAAGGTCGCCCAGACATCCCTCGACCAGAACCACGGTCACAACGACGTCGCAACGACGAAGAAGTGGAACAACAACGGCCACCACAGCGACAAACGCCAGCCGCCCTCGCGCAAATCTCGGCACGCGCATCGCCATCCGCGCTGCTTTCTGTTTCACGTAGGTCGCGACAGAAATGCGTCAGCGCAGCGTCCGCCCCGCCGCGAGGACTGACCGCAGTGCATAATAACACCGCGTCGACGAAGTCTGTAGATACGGGGTGCGATCGCAGCGTTTCGCCGCGGATCAATCTCAACTCGCCTTTCTTACTTTCGCGATCCAAGAGGAGGTCGAAGATGCAAGATGGCAAGGGGGCAGCTCCGCTTGACTCGTCACTATCACCATGACGAGTCCCGTCGCAGCCGTGCAAAAGTGCTTCGGGCACCATGTTCGACGGGCGCGATTTTTGCCATCACTAAAACGTGCATTCCGACGAGGGTCGGGCGGATGGTGACGGGCGAATTTGCGCTGCGCCAAATGGGCCAGGGGATCCAAGAGTGGATCCTGTGGGGAACTCAGGGCAACTCCTGGGTCAGAATACCATCCCTGCTGTACATTGAAAAAGGAATCCTCCGAAACCACTCAACTTGCGATGCAAGCCCCCCTAAGGCCCACGGCGCCAGCCGCACTGGCCGACTGGCGCCCCTATGGGCACGCAGCCCGACGCTCTAGGCGCGCGAAGAATTGGCATATGTGGTGCTGCGCTGACCGCGGAAACCTTTGGAAAATCAGCTTAAAAGCTGCGTAATAAGAAAAGAAGGAAACCTGGAAAATCCGCCGACCCCCTGGGGTTCCGCTGCGTGGGGGGCGGTTGCACCTTTGCGAATCTCCCTTTGGGGGGTTCCTTCCGTCCGGCTTGAGCGAAGAGCACGAAGAGGGCCGGCAGGCCCAACCGCGTCAAAGATGCTCCTACACGGCCCACATGGCTTCGACATAGTACTTGCGGGTTTCGAAACGACCCCAGATGGCACCCAGTCGCCCAGAAATGGGTTCAGGACGCGTGCCCCCCGAAGGGCTTGTACAACGGCCGGGGGAACGCGATGCCCAAAGGCGTGGCCAAACGTTGCCCTCGCAATGCCAAACACAAGCGCATCCTAGAAGGCAAGGTGCGACGGTGATTCTTCATCGGCGTTTTCGACATCGCGAAGGTCGCCCAGGCACCCCTCGACCAGAACCACGGCCACAACGACGTCGCAACGACGAAAAACTGGAGCAACAACGGCCGCCAAAGGGACAAACACCAGCAGCCCTAGCGCAAGTCTCGGCGCGCGCGTCGCCATCCACGCTGTTTCAAAGCGCTGTTTCACGTAGGTTGCGAAAAAATGTGTTAACATAGCGCCTATCCCGCCGCGAGGACTGACCGCAGTACATAATAGCAGTGCGCCGCCGAAGTCTATAGATACGGGGTGTGATCGCAGCGTCTTCTTTCGCCGCTGATCAATCTCAACTCGCACTTCTTACTTTCGCAATCCAAGAGGAGGTCGAAGATGCAAGATGGCAAGGGGGCAGCTCCGCCTGACTCATCACTATCACTATGGCGAGTCCCGTCGCAGCCGTGCAAAAGTGCTTCGGGCACCATGTTCGACGGGCGCGATTTTTGCCATCACTAAAAGGTACATTCCGACGAGGGTCGGGCGGAAGGTGACGGGCGAATTTGCGCTGCGCCAAATGGGCCAGGGGATCCAAGAGTGGATCCCGTGGGGAACTCAGGGCAACTCCTGGGTCAGAATACCACCCCTGCTGTACATTGAAAAAGGAATCCTCCGAAACCACTCAACTTGCGATGCAGGCCCCCCTAAGGCCCACGGCGCCAGCCGCACTGGCCGACTGGCGCCCCTATGGGCACGCAGCCCGACGCTCTAGGCGCGCGAACAATTGGCATATGTGGTGCTGCGCTGACCGCGGAAACCTTCTGGAAAATCAGCTTAAAAACTGCGTAATAAGAAAAGAAGGAAACCTGGAAAATCCGCCGACCCCCTGGGATTCCGCTGCGTGGGGGGCGGTTGCACCTTTGCGAACCTCCCTCTGGGGGGGTCCGTCCGTCCGGCTTGAGCGAAGAGCACGAAGAGGGCCGGCGGGCCCAACCGCGTCAAAGATGCTCCTGCACGGCCCACATGGCATCGACATAGTACGTATGGGTTTCGAAACGACCCCAGATGGCACCGAACCGCCCAGAAATGGATTCAGGACGCGTGTCCCCCGAAGGGCTTGTACAACGGCCGGGGAACGCGCGGCCCAAAGGCGTGGCCAAACGTTGCCCTCGCGAGGCCAAACGCAGGCGCATCCTGAAAGGCAAGGGGCGGCGGTGATTCGTCATAGGCGTTTTCGACATAGTGAAGGTCGCCCGGGCATCCTTCGACCAGCACCACTGCCACAACGACGTCGCAATGACGACGGACTGGAGCCAAAACGGCCACCAAAAGGACAAACACCAGCAGCCCTAGCGCAAGTCTCGGCGTGCGCTTCGCCATCCGCGTTGGTTGAGTGACTCTGAGACTAGGGAAGGAGGCGGACGTCCCAAGACCTGCAGAACGACGAACCGTAACCTGTAAAGTAGCAGTACCTCCCGCTGGTCTCGTCCTCAGGATCCTGAGTGCAATGCTCCTGGCGCTCTGAGTCGAACCGCGAAAAGTACTACATCGCCGCTTCCACGTTGGCCCAAGGATTGATGCACGGGCAATCTGCGCAACCGCCCGGCCGGGCGTGAACAGCACGCTGGAGAGAGGGCGCACACAAATTTCCCGAAGACGGGCCATGACGCGCCAACCTTCTGCGGCGAGCATCGCATGAGGGACGCGCGGTCGCCACTCTCCGTGGACAAAAAACTCTTCGGACGATGAGTAGATTGATGACGACGATGACGATGATGGCAATGACGTCACCAATCCAAAACAGCCCACTGCAAACGCGCTAGTGTGGTATCTGATGCCGGCAGCCGTCTGACATCACTCATCCACACAAGCCGGTGTACACACACACACACACACTCATATTTCGGAAGAAGCTGGTAGAAACATGAAGTATGAGAGCGATTCAAGTAGGTTGGTCTTCGGTCCGCCCACCAGCCCTTTTCCAACCCTCTTCTTCCCAATCGGGAACGGGTTTAGTTACCCCTCCCTCTGTCCCCTTCACCTGGGTCTGGAGGGGGGGGGATTGCGGATCGCTGGAGCGTCGACAAGGCACACATCATCGACTTGTTCCAAGGTTTTGGGCCAACATTGGCCTCCAAGGGGCGACACTAATTAAGTACTCCCCCCCTTCTTTGGTCACGTAATCACCATCATCGTATCCACTCAAACTCATCGTCGGAGGTGTCGTCGTGCGATTCGCCATAGGGTGATTGCCACGGCTTGGACGGAGGCGACACTGTAAGTGGTGACGCCACCAAAGCGACTGAATCCACTGCGATCGCGGGCTGGTCGCGCGCTTGCATGACAAGGTCGAACTGACGTCTCCGACTTCTGATGTTTTTCCTTTGAAAACGTCGTTGTGTGCCTTGGCGTGCCATCACTAAGGATGGAAGGCCTGGTCCCAGAGGCGTGGGGTCGACGATGGCGGGCGGCGGGTGGCCCAGATTCCTCTCGGCGCGCACGCCTGTGGTCTCGTCGAGGCGCGCGAACGCGGCGCGCTGAAGGGCTGCGCGCAGGGCGCGGATGCCCCGCTCAACGGCGCCGGTCGGACGATCCCGTCAGCGTGTTGTTGAATATTGATTGCCAAACACGGTTTGTACAATTGTTGGACACCCCATAGAGGCCCTGGCGCTCTCGCCTCGGCGACGGCTGCACTTCCTATGAAATCTAGGCTCGCGCTCAGGCGTTTCGGGGGACCGCCGAAACGTCCCCCCCCCAACAACAACGACGCTCCCGCTCGATACTTCCTCCCTTTCTACTCGGGACCGGGGTTCTTGCTCACCGCTGAAAGCTGGCTTTCCAACAAAACAGGCGCGCCAGCTCGATACTTCCACGCCCTTTTACTTAGGACCAGCGCTCCCGCCTCGGCGCCGCAGACGGTGCCACTGCGAACAACGACGCTCCCGCTCCCGCTCCCGCTCCCGCTCCCGCTCCCGCTCCCGCTCCCGCTCCCGCTCCCGCTCCCGCTCCCGCTCCCGCTCCCTTCCTCCTCCTCCTCCTCCTCCTTCCCTCCTCCTCGTCCACTTCATCTTCCACGGTGGTCGGCCGCGCGGCCGCGCTATGGGCGGAGAGCGGGGCGGCGCTCGCCCCCGCTCCTGCGAAGCGCCGGAGGCGCCGCCGTAGTAGCCGTACGACGAGCCGCCGGCCTGCGTCTCTCCCGGCGGCAGGCATCGGGCTGCTCTCGTCAGGACAGAATCCGAGATCTCTGAGGACTCGCAGGACTAGAGGATGTATCGGGCGCCGAAGCCGTTCCAGATCCTAACTAGCGCCTCCTGGTCCCGCCCAAGTGGGCGGACGAGAAGGCGAGGAGGATGGAGTCACTCCCGCTGCCAAGAGAGAGGGGGGGGGCGGTTTGCAGGAGAAAAGACGCGAGGGGGACGAAATGCATGGGGGGGCGATCCAAAAGGAAGCGGGTGCACCCTCCTCGCATCCCCGTGGGCTTAACGCACCCACCAGGAGCCAGCGGCAAGGCCCCCCCCTCGGTAACTAAAAGGCGCCCTCCTCTGCTGCGCCGGGAGCCTGTCTGGCCTGGCCCCCTGCGCGGGCTCCCCGGCATCCCGCCGGCGCGCCCGTGGCCGCCTGCCTCCTGCAGCGCCCCTCCCCAGCGCGCAGCACAGCCTGCCAGAGGCCGGCCCCACTACTGCACGCGGCTACCCCGCGGCACAGTGCCCACAGCGGGGGGGCGGGCCAGCACCGCCCTGGGCCCGCCTAGGGCGCGTGACGCCAGCGCCGGTGGGGCGCCGAAGTGCTGTCGTGCGGGAGATCCTCGTCTTGACGCGGGCCGGGTTTGGCGAGACAGGCCCGGAGGCGAGCGGGGGGGGAGTGTGAGGAGGCACGGGGGAGGGGGCGGGGTGAGGAGGAAGAGGCAGAGGAGCGAGGAGGAGGAAGGGCATGGAATGGGGAGATGAAGAGCGAGCGTTCGTGACAATCCCCAGACGGGCTGAGACAGCATAATCAGACGGAGAAGGGAGTCAGCATCATTGTGGGCTGCGCTTGTGAGCAGTCGCCCTATGGAGTTGCACGAAACGCACTGACACATTACTCAAACTGCACAGCACACGTCCTCGATGCAAGCAAGCATCGGGTGCGCCGAAGAGGGGGCCAGGAAGAAGGGGGGTATCGCACCATGGCCCGACGCATGTGTGCGGAGACCCAGGGAATTCTTTGAAACAGAAGATAACAACAATAATGATACAAACAATAAGGAGGAACCATATTACGAACAATAATCGTACGAACAAGAATAGTAACAATAATAATACAAAAGGACAATGGAATCTGGTAGATCTCATGGCCTCGGCTATGATATCCACACACCCCTAGGTCCTTACCCCCCTCTTGGACGCCCCTGGAAGCACGTCCCAAGAGGACTCCCAAATGGGGCCCGAGAAGATGGGGTCGGAGAATCGCGCCGCATCGCCGATGCATCCGCGCGACGACGCCAATGCATCGGCGACGCCATCGTAGAGCGAGTCGGGCTCCACATCGAGTTGCATCCCCGATGCATCAGCGATGCGGAGCGATTCACCGACCCCATCTACTCGGACCCCACTTGGGAGGCCTGGAATCTCCCTCTGCTACCCACCTCCCGATGATATGGATTGTGAGGCGATCCGCAAACCACGCCTCAGACCTCAGACGTCTAGGCCAGACCCCGCAGTCATGCCCTCGCTGCCGTCTTCCGCCCCGCACCAATCGGTCGAGGTCCCATGGGCTGGACGCGTAGCCCTAGACGGCAGCAAGCACCAGAAGCAGACTCTCCAAATCAGAACAGGCCGGAGCCAGGACGAAGACGAACATAAGATATAGACCACTCGGGATCCCTGAAAACTGGCGGGTCCTGAGGATAATCATGTCAGGCGTCGCGGCGATTCCGCAGCGCTCCAGAACGCTCTCAGCTAACGCCCTGGAACGACTCATCTTTATCATTATTCATCCTAAAGGCGAATCCGGTCGACTTCCACGGCGTGCCCGCGCTCCCGCTTTCGATCATCGAGCGCAGGTTTTGGTGGAGGCCTCTTTCCAGGAGTCGCCAGAGGACGTCTTCTGCGCGACCATTGACTTCAATCGGTTGAGCTTCTCCTGGCGTAAGCGGGAAAGGGGGCCCGCGCCATGCTACTTCCAATTCCACCCCTCCCTCTCCTGCATGGCTCCCCCATGGACCTCGTCAAATGCGCAGAGATACGCAATCTCTCTCTCTCTCTCTCTTCCCCCCTCTCTCTGTCTCTCCTTCTCTCTCTCTCTCTCATCCTCCTGGAATTCGCCCCCCTCTCGCCCGTTTCCCGCTCCTTCAGGCCTGATTGAACCCATTTCATATCCGAGCAGCACAACAGAAAAACCGGGGCTGATGACTAATTGATCCCCCAAGCACTAAGGGGGGTGGCGCGCGACGTGTAACTAGCGCCGTCCAAGGAGGTCGGGGGCCCCGAAGAAGCGGCCAGAGGCCTCCAAGAAGGCTCTTCTTTGGAAGGCGTGTGGGCCTTGAAGAACACCCTAAATCCGTAGAACCCCCCAGTCAAAATCCGCGCGTGAATTCTTTAGAACTCCCCACCCTGAATTCTTGAGAACCCCCCCACCCTGAATTCTTTAGGACCCCCCACTCAAAATCCGCGCCTTCTAAGAGCCCCCTGAATCTTTTACCCCCCCCGCCCTTCCGCGCCACCTCCCACTCAGAATCCGGTCAAAACCAATCCCCGCTCTCCTCCCCTGGGTCCGGGGACCGTGCGCCGCCGTAGCGGCAGAGAGGACATGCAGAGAGACCGCCAACTAAAAAGCTCCCAGAGAACGCCGAGGTTATCAGCGGCGTCGTCGCGCTGCTGAGCCCCGACCGACGCAAGAGGCCCCTCGAGGCCCCTCCCCGGGATGTCGCAGTGACGGGGCGCCGACTTGCGGCAAGCCACCTCCTACACGTCACTTTGGGGCAGCGAGGCGTGGTCTCGTCAAGGGGGCCAGGGGCTGGGTATTCCTCCAAGGGCCCCTCCTGGGGTCCACCTGGGCCAGGGGTTCCTCTCTGCGGCCCCTGATGAATTTCAGGCTGCGACGCACGCGCGTTTGCTGCAGTCAGGCGGAGACTGAGACGCCACCACCGCGGCTTTAAGGTCACGGCCTGAGTGCCGCCACAAGAGCCAGAAAAATCGCTCCGCCACCCTCCTGTCGCACTATCTGTTTGCCGCCCCCCCCCCTGCCCCCATCTCCTCAAACTCCTCCTCCTCCTCCTCCTCCTCCCCCTCCTCCTCTTCATCCTCCTCCTCCGTCCCCTCCCTCTCATCCTCCCTCCCTTCCTCCCGCCCCCTTGGGGAGTCTCTTTGCATACGCCGCTAATACAATCGCCGATGCCGCGACCGTCCCTTCCTTACAACCATGCGGTAACGTCCCCGCAACCGCGGGCTCTGCAACACCCCCCCCTCAGCACCATCCCCCCATGCGAGAACCACAAACTTATCAGTTACTCCGCTCACCCCCGCCACCGCAGGCCAGGAACCAGGCCCGTCCTCAACGATAGCAGCTCAGTGTGGCGCTCCTCGGCGGCTGCGACCATACCTCCTTGGCCCAAATGTCGGCTCTCTGCGCTCGCATAACCTCGCGGGCAGCCCGTGAATCGGGCCCTTGCGTCGCGAATTTCAGATCCCATGAAGATGCGCATCTCCTTGTACTGGTGCGTACGGCGTAGATGCAAACACACCGCTTCACGGTGTGGATGACGGGCCACCCTCGGGACTCATCTGTGTCTGCTGTGAATGTGAAGGCCTCGCTCGCGAAAGAATGATGCATCTTTTTCCAAGCATCGTTTGCTGGGGGCAACCGCGGGTTTCGACCAACGCTGGCCAGTCCCCGAAACCGCGGGTTTCAAATATCGTAACCTTGCCGACGGGTCCGGAAATCAACATCGAGCAGGAGGCGAACCAACGCGAACCATCCAGTTGCTTTGTGGACGGTCTCTCTCTCTCTCTCAACCTCTCTCTCTCTCTCTTTCCTCCCTTCCTCCTCCTGCTCTCCCTTCTCTCTTCCCTCCTTTCTCCCATACCTGCAGGCCTGATAGAGCCCATACTAACCCGAGCAGCGCCACAAAAACACTGGGGCCGATGGCTAATTCATCCTCCCAGGAGCCGCATCCTAACACGCCTACCCGAACTAATGGACTTCCCCGACTTGGCCGCGAACCAAAGGGCGTGGCGCGCAGGACGAAGCGGATGGACGTCCAAGAGGCAGGAAGCTTGGCGGAGGAGGAGGAGGAGGAGGAGGAGGAGAAGGGGGAGAAGGGAGGAGGAGGAAAGGGGAGGGGGGAAGAAGCACGAGGAGGAGGAAAGAGGAGGAGGAGGAAAGAGGAGGAGGAGGAGGAGGACAGAGGAGGCGGAGGAGATGCCCCGCTCCTGGATGTCCTCCGACGGGCCGCCCTGCGCCGCGCCGCCGCCCCGCCTCTGCCCCGCGTGCGGCGCGCCGCCGCCGCGGGGCGGCGGCGCCTCGCGAGGCCCGCCGCGCGGCCGCGACGCCGCCTCGCGCGGCTGCGGCCTGCGCCGGTCCTGGGCGGCAAGCGGGGCTCCTCGGCAGGGCCTTCGGCGGGCGCCTCGGGGGACCTTCGGGGCGCCTCGGGAGGGCCTCGGGGGGGCCTCGGGGGGGCCTCTGCAGAGCCTCGGGGGGCCTCTCGGGGGGCTCGGAGGAGACCCGCGGGGGACCTCTGAGGGCACTGGGGAGCCTCGGGGTGCCTGGGAGAACGTGTGGGGAGGGGGGGCTTGGTTGATGGCCTCGGGGGACCTGTGAGGGCCGAGAGGTCGGAGGACCGTCAAGTGGACCTCACCAAGCCACCCTGGCCTGCAGAAGCGATGAGCTTTTGCACTCCTGGGCCTCCGCGTCCCCCGCTGGGGCTGCGTGTGGCCGCGGCCTGCGCCACTGCTGGGCGTCATCCTCTCCGGCCGCCGCCGCGTGCTGTGGCCGCGGCCTGCGCCACTGCTGGCCAGCGTCTTCCCTGGCGAGGAAGGGGGGCGCGGCGGTCGCGGGGTTCGAGAAGTGGGGACTGCCAGCCCGTGCGATGCGCTCTGCGCGCCAGATTGGCTGCTCCAGCCATTGCTGCTCGTCTCTCCTCCTCCTTCTCCTCCTCCTCCTCATCACCAGCACCATCACCAGCACCAGCACCACCACCATCATCATCATCATCATCATCATCATCATCATCATCATCATCAGCAGCAGCAGCATCATCATCAGCATCATCAGCATCATCAGCATCATCAGCATCATCATCATCAGCATCATCAGCATCATCAGCATCACCAGCATCATCAGCATCATCAGCATCATCATCAGCATCATCATAATCACCATCATCATCATCACCATCATCATCATCATCAGCATCATCATCATCATCATCATCATCAGCATCATCATCAGCATCATCATCATCAACATCAGCATCAGCATCAGCATCAGCATCATCACCATCACCATCACCATCACCATCACCATCACCATCATCATCACCACCACCATCATCATAACCATCCCCACCATCATCATCAGCATCATCACAATCATCATCATCAGCATCAGCAGCAGCATCATCACAATCATCAGAATCAGCATCATCATCATCACCACCATCACCATCCTCATCCTCGTCCTCATCCTCATCCTCATCCTCAGCATCACGATCATCATCAGTAGCATCAGCATCCTCCTCATGACCATCATCACCACCAGAATCATCATCAATATCAGCATCCGCATTAGCATCAACATCAGCATCATCCTCGTCGTCATCACTATCACCATCACCATCACCATCACCACCACCACAACCATCACCATCCTCACTATCATAATCATCACCACCACCACGATCATCATCATCATCATCATCATCATCATCATCATCATCATCATCGTCATCGTCCTCATCATCATCCTCCTCTTCCTCGTCGTCAGCATCATCGCCACCACCGTTTTTTGCATCATGACCATCATCACCATCAACATTATCATTACCGGCATACTTAGAATCATCATCATCATCATCATCATCATCATCATCATCATCACCATCACCATCACCATCACCATCATCACCATCGTCGTCGTTGTCGTCGTTGTCGTCGTCGTCGTTCTCGTCGTCGTCGTTCTCGTCGTCGTCGTCATCGCCGTCGCCATCGGCATCATGATTATCAGCAGCAGCGGCAGCATCGTCATCATCATCAGCATCATCATCATCGCCATAACCATCAGCATCAGCATCATCAGTATCATCATCATCAGCATCAGCATCAACATCGTCAACAACACCATCATCAATATCATGATCATCAACATCATCATCATCATCATCATCAACATCATCACCACGACCACCACCACCACCACCATCATCATCATCATCATCATCATCACCGTCATCATCATCATCGTCACCGTCACCGTCACCGTCATCATCATTATCATCCGACTCTTCCAAACGAGTAATGGCCTCCTGCTTGCCTCGGCCAGACCTGGTAAAAAGGTGAAACCTCGCAATCTTACCAATCAACTGGCCGCTGCTGAACTGCTCAATGGGCCCTCCGCCGGAGGAGGAAGGAGGGCAACGTCTGAACGATCCACTTGCCGTCAGCACCCAGTAACCAGGAGGAGGAGGAGGAGGAGGAGGAGGAGGAGGAGGAGAGGATGATGATGAGGGATGAAGAGGAGGAATCAGAGTGAGGGAGGAGTTCACTATGCTGCCCCGCCCTTTGGGGACTCGCCCTTCTGGACCCTGGCTGGGCTGCTCGCTCTTCTCGGCCGCCGCCGCTGTGAATTCTTTCCCAAACCCTGTCGGCTGCCGCCGCTCGCATCTCGGAGGGGGACGCAGGAGGATGAGGAGGAGGCTGAGGGAGCAACGATAGGGGAGGATAGGCATAGGGGGGGATGCATCGACCCCAACTCGCCCATTGATCGTCGGTAGGGGCCCGATAGCCCCAACCTGCCCAGTTGGATGAGCAGCAGGAGCGTGAACAGAACTCAAGATCAGGAAGGGGGAGGAGGGCAGAGTCCGCTTGCGTGCTGAGGGGAGACGAGCAGGGAGCAGGAACAGAAACCAAGCTCAAGAGGGGACGAGGGGGGGAGAGGCCGCCTGCGTACCCTCTGCACACTGTGGCGTGGCAGAAGCCCGAAAACCTGTGCGGCACGCGTATAGCATCTGGTAGTTTCCCAGGGCGAACGCCCCCACACATAGACTTTCTCGAATGATTAATCCTGGCGCCCTCCTCTGCCGCTGGACGCCTCCAGGACGGCCAACGAGATCGCGCTGAGACGGCTGCGAGACGCCCGAAGACGATCCCCCCAAGGCCCCACGAAACCTCCAAGAAGTCGCACAAGGTGCGGAGAGCCCCCGAGGCCGCGAATGCCCAGTCCTGGCCAAGCCCATCCGTGGCCAGGGATGACGGAAACACGCAGATTCTTGGCACGCGCTGGGGTCGCCGCCCTGTCGACGCAGCGCGGACATGTCGAACCTTTCGGAGGCGGGCCAGCTGAGAGAACTGCGGCCCTCCCGCCCGACCCAAATCCGCTCAAAACCTGTCCCAAGATCTCTCCTAGCGGTCATCCGGACCCGCTCCTTCTCCTCCTCTTCCTCCTCTTCCTCCGTCTCCTCCTCCTCCTCCTCCTCCTCGTCCTCCTCTTCAGCGGCCCAACCGGCCGTGCGACGAGATGCCCCCCACCCAGGGAGGCCCTGGCAGGACTCCACAGACGCCAGGAAAGGCCGCCGCTATCTCGGCAAAGACGCCCCCCTCCAGCGGTCTCCCGGGCCCCGCCTGGGGGACGCCGCGGGCGCCGGCTGCTGCGTCCGCGCCCGCGGCGCTGGCGCGGCGCGGGCCGAGCCTGCCGGGAGGCGGCCCAAAGCGAGCGGCAGCCGCGGACCAGCCAGACGCCCCTCGTCAAGACGAAACCAGGACGAGGATAAAATCGGGTGCGAACAAATCGAGAATCTCAGAGTTCCAGCGGCTCTGGAGGATGTCTCGGGCGCCGCGGCCTTCTCGGAGCGTGCCAGCGCGCTCTGGAACGCTATGGAACGGATTTATCCTCGTCCTGGCCCCGCTCGACGAGATCCCCGCGATTGCGACGCCTTGTGGTTCCCTCCTTTGAAGAGGGCTTCTCCCTTGACTTGCCATCGCTCGGACGTCCATTCCCCGTGGGTGTTTCGGTTTCGTGCGCTTCTTTTTTTGCATGATGACCAAAGATGCTCCTAGATGGCCCTCGCCAAGAAAAATGCACACGCCCGAGCGATGCCAAGGACTTTTCCCGAGGGCGGAGTTATCCTCGTCCTGGCTCCGTTCGCCTCGTGTGTCTCGGCGGCTGGTCGCGCGGTTGCAGTCGAGGCACGGCCACGAGAGAGCATGGATCAAGAGCGTCTGCCCCTTCGCCGATGACTGGAGGCCCACGGGCATGCCCCGAACGCGAAGGAGGGACGTCCGTAGGTGGAGAGTCCAGTCACGAAGAACACTCACAGGTGGCCCACGACTGAGCTGAACCCCAGGGAGCGAATCTATGCTGCAAGGAGGAAGGTTTCTTCTATGACTTGTTTTGGGGACGATCTCGAAACTTGCCCCCGTGCCAGCCGCCCTCTCCCCGCAACCTCGCCCCCCTTGCCCCATCCCGTCCCCGCTCTTCCCCTCGTGTTCAACACTCGGGGATGGACAGACCCCCCTTTAGTAAAACGTGGTTTAGTGAAAACGACCTGAGGCCCAAACCTGGCGGGGGCAACCCTGGAAAATAACGGCCGCGGCGCCCTCTCGAGAACCGAAAACGGACAATTCACTAATCGACGTGTCACTGGTGGGGGTTCTGTCCACCCCCCAAACACGAGGGCGCCCCTCCAAGGCTCGGGTTGTTTTCGCCCCTCGTGCGAGCTGCTGCGCCTGGGAAGAGCAGGGAGAACTCTCGGGTCGGCGCCGTCTCCCCCCTCCCCGTCTGCCCTGGCGCACGATGCGCGCCGTGGGGGAGGGGGAAATCCGCGTGGGCCTTCGAAAGCTCAGATTCGGGGATGGACAGACCTCCCTTTAGCAAAACGTGGTTTAGTGAAAACGACCTGAGGCCCAAACCTGGCGGGCGCAAGCCTGGAAAATAACGGCCGCGGCGCCCTCTCGAGAACCGAAAACGGACAATTCACTAATCGACGTGTCACTGTTGGGGGTTCTGTCCACCCCCGACAGATGCTGATTCTTGGGCGGGCGCACGGCTACCCTGGCTAAGCAGCAACACGTGAACCATGCACCCACCGCCAACCGATTCGGACCAGCAGCGGTTCGCTGGTGACCACCAATGGTCACTGCGAGCGGGCACGAGCGGGGTGAACTCCCTACTGGTGAGCCCCCCTCGGGCAAGAGAGAGGGGGCGAGGGAGAAACACGTGGCCGAAAGATGCAGCGCTGCAGCGCCGCCATCCATCGTGGACCCCGCCGGCCAAGTCCGCACACAACAGGGAGAAGGGAACTCACCACCGGGAGCAGGACAGGATGAGGAGCAGCAGAGAATCAGGATAGGTTGTGAAGCAGGGAGCGCCGATCCCCCAGCGCCCCGCCGAGACTGCATTGGTGCCTCCCTCTGACGACGAGAAGGGCAGGGCCAGTTGAGATAATGGCGGCCGGCTCACGCGTCCCGACTGGCCCGCCTCGAATCATACACAGGAGGACACGGCGACCTTGTGTGGTGGCTCACGCAGGCCGCGCACGCGAGCACATCACCTGGAGAGGGAGGACACGGTTTTTGCTGATTTCGCAAGGCGAAGGGGGTGCAGGGTGCCCCGTGAGACCGCTCAGAAAGGTATACACCCACGATCTTGGATCAGGAAACCTTGGCTTAAGAAATTTAGACCCTGGTTTGACAGCCATTGCCCGCACCGCAGGCCCGGGAGCGAGGCAGAGCCAAAGAAGCGTGCAGGGCTAGCAAAAGACTCGCCACTTTCTCATCCAAGACCGCAGAGGTACTGCACAACCGCCCCCGATCCTCTCCCCCATGCCCGCCACTCGAGGCGGGTGTGGTCGTGACCCTCCTGTCACCTTGGCGAAATGGGCATTGAGCACGCTGCTCTCCTGGGCTCAACATCTGTCGGCAAAACAGGGGACGGCGATAATGCCTACCGCAACGAATAGGGCTCAACGACGACATCAGAACGTGTGAAAGAAAACCAAAGTTGGGTTATGGACTGCATTACGGCGGAGCGTGGTGGCATCACAGAGGGGCAGACGCCTGCCGCTGGCAGAGCGCGTCTTGAGGCAGACGCGGTGGCGGACGGCAGCTGGTTGAAGCGACGCGCAACGTGACAACAATCCCTTTACGGATCCGAAAACGTGCGGCATGCGATGTACGGGCGGTGAGTTCCAAGATTGAACCACATTTTGCCAACGTGTAGAGATAGGCGGGGGACTGTCGGGCTCACACCATACTGTTGACAGAAGTAACATGAAGCTGCTGATAGCGTCAGGTGAATGCTGATTAGAACGGAGTGTGGAAAATACTGGAAGCGGCAGCCTGCTAAAAACTCGCAGCCCCACGAGAAATGATTCTCCCGCAGTCGAGATTGCGCCGCCCGCGCATCAACTCCGACAGATTCTACCAACTTGGGCACAAATCCGGATGGATAACCGTCGCCCCCCGTGCTCGAAAGGAACGGCCTTGTCAGTGGGCCAACGCTACGAAACGAAAAATTGACCCCCATCGACCCAACCGCGGGTCGGCCCAGATCGGCGGAATCGGGACATCGGCAAGGGCAGGCCAGATTGAGTCAGAAACAGTCCCAGCCCTCCCAACCAAGCCCGTGCCATTCGCGAGGACGCAAAGCGGATCCGCCCCTCACTTGCAGCTCCTCGAAATATCTGCTTCTCCACCCTCCTCCTCCTCATCCTCCTCCTCCTCTTCCTGCATTCCTTCCTCTACGCATGCTCATCCCTGCTGCGACCCAGTTTAGGGGGGATCTGGTGTTTGGTGAGCTCTGAACACCTCGACCGCCTGACGTCCACTCGCGTCCGCCTGGCACCCTGCTCACCTCCGAGCACCGCAGCTCTCAGCGGAGGGCGCCGCCCGCACTCCCCTGCGCACCCGTCCTGGCCAGGCCGGTCCTGAGCCCAGGCCTGGCGCACGCCTTCCGGGCTGAGGCGTGTTGCACCGATGCCTGGGCCCAGGCTGGGCCCGGCCAAGATCGGCGTCGGTGTGCAGGCGGCGCCCTCCGATGCTCCTCTCTGCGATCCCCTTGCCACGAGCGAGTTGGGTGCGGGCAAACTGGGCATGATGCCAAACAGCACATGTCCTCCCAAACCGACAGCCTCCGCTGTTGGGCTGTCGATTTTCCCGCCTCAGGTGGACGACGCACGCGGCGACACCGACAAAAGATCCTCGCTCAGAATACACAGAGAACTGCGGCCGATCTTCACCCCCGCTCTGCCCGTCCTAAGACGAAGCCAGGACGAAGATACAACAGGGGGAGGATATAAGTCGGGAATTGCTGGGATCTTGCGGCTCTGGGAGATGTCTCGGGCGCCGCGGCCTCCTCAGAGCGCTCTGGAACGCTCTGAGGACGCCCCGGAACGCTCCGGAACGCTCTGGAACGGATTGATCCTCGTCCTGGCCCCGTCTGACGTCCCTGTCTCCACCGCACCGGCTCCCGAAGCGGCCTGCACCTGAGCCCTCCCGGAGGCGGACAGGGGACGGCGGCCGCGGCGGCGTGGGCGCTCCGGCGCGGTGCCCAGCATGCCGCGAGCGGGACCTCGCCGCCGAGAGCCCGCCCCCCGGGCGCGCGAGCGCGCGAGAGACAGACGCGGCCGCGCCGTGCCGCCCCGAGGCCACTGCGCTGCTCAGAGCAGGCCACCTGCGACGATGGCATGACAGAAACGGGTGCGGGTCCTGGACCCCAGGCGCCTTCCCCAAGGACCAGCCCTCCATCCCGAGATGCTGTTTGGCGGCCCTAGGGCCTGGGGAGGGGCTCCCAGAGCCCGACCACGGCGGCAGAAAAGCCCAGGACCCGTCTGCCCGCGGCTTCATGGCGAGAGACGGACCACGCGCGCACCCGATCCGAACCCCTCCAGCGTGGCCCTGCCAGGGAGATGGCCCTCGAAGCCTCGAAGGACCCAGCTCACACTACCTCCAGCGATCCAGAGCATCGTGTGCTGAGACATGTGCGGTTGGGAGTGGGCAGCCCTTGACCACTGGATGCAGGTGAGCGTTCTTTTTATTCGGCGTTTCGACACTGGGGAGGGGTCTGGCTCCAGACCTCTGCTTAATGTTTGCAAGAGAGCGGCCTCGGGGAGAGACTCCACCCTAGGCCACGGGGGGGGGGGGGCGGGGGGGTGCGAAGGCCCGCGCCGATCGGCAAAACAATTGACGAAGAAAACGATTGCCCGGATGCAGTCAAAGATTCGCTTGGGGAACTGTCGGCGCCGTCAGCGCAGCCGCTCCCGCGCGATGCCCAGCGCACCGCGAGCCTCGTCGAGGAGTGCCTGGGCTGCACGCGCGCGCGACTCGGCGTGCCGCTCAGGGGCGCCGCGGATGCATTGGCGGGAGGCTCGCGCGAGGCACGCGCGAGGCACGCTCAAGGCACGCTCGAGGCACGCGCGAGCCTCGCGCGCATGGTCGAGGCACGC